GCGCATCTAGGGCTCTCTTGGGCTATTTTAAAACCTCTTGGACGTCTCCTAGGGGCCTTTTAGGCCCTCGGGAAGCTTTTGGGGTCCTCGTCGGACCACTTGGGGGCCTCTTGCGGCCTCCTGTGGGCCTTTTGGGGGGAACGCTCTGCTGTTGGGTCGCGTTCCCCTTCTTGGGCCTCTCTTGGGGCTCTTGGGGCCCTCTCGGGCCGTCTTGGGCGCCTCAAGCACCGTCTTGGGGCCCTCGCGGGCCGTCTTGGGGGTCTCTTGGAGACCTCTTCCTCTATATTGGAGCGGTATTGGAAGCCTCTTGGGCCGTCTTGGAGCATCGGGATGCCAAAAGGCAGAAAAAAAACATGAAACCCCGTCAAAGCCCAATCTTAACACGATGAGTGTGCCTCTTGGGGCCATCTTGGGAGATTTCTTGGAACCTCGTCGGCCCTCTTGGGCGTTTCTTGGGGGCCTCTTGGAACCGATTGGGGGCCTCTTGGGACTTCCCGAGAACCTCTCGGGGTAGAAAGCTCGGATTCTCGGTTCGTGTTTCCCTTCTTGGGCCTCTCTTGGAGCCGTCTTGGGGCCCTCTCGGGTCGTCTTGGGCGCCTCAGGCACCGCCTTGGGGCCCTCGTGGGCCGCCCAGGGCCCTCTTGGAAGCCTCTTCGGCTATCTTGGAGCTGTCTTGGAGGCCTCTTCCTTCTCCTCGTCCCCCTCCTCCTCCTCCCACTCCAGCTCTCTCTCCTCCTGATCTTCCTCCTCCTCCTGCAGCGTGTTCTGGAAGGCTCTCGCCGGAACATGCTGTGCACAAGTGCTGTCACTGCCCCCGCCACCGTGCCCTGGGTGGTGGGTCAGAGGCCTCATGGGTGTTAGTTTGGATCTCGTGGTTGGCCTGTCGGGGACGTCGTGAAGGCAGTTTCGCAGCTTCTCGGTAGCCGTTTTGGGACCGTTGTGGGGCATCCTCGGGGCTGTTTTGTGGCCTCTTCAGGCCTCGTTCGGGCCTCCTGGGTGCCTCTTGGAGGCCTTCTGGGGCCTCTTGGGGGCTCCTTAGGTCCTCCTGGGGCACTCTTCAAGCGGGAGGGTCGAATTTTGGAGTCGTGGTCCCCCTCTTGGGCGCATCTTGGGGTCGTCTTGGGGCTCTGTGGGGCTGTATTGGGCGACTCTGGGGCCGTCCTGGGGCCCTCTTGGACCGTCTTGGGGCGCTCTTGGGGGCCTATTGAGCCGTCGTGGAACGTCGGACAGCCGAAAAAGCTGGAAGGTCAAAATCGTTCGAAAACCTTCATAAAATTGACGATCTCGGCCTCTTGAAGCGCTCTGGAGAGGCGTCTTGAAGCGTCGTGGAGTGCCTTGGGGGGCCTCTCGGGCCGTCTTGGGCCTTTCTTGGGCGTCCTGGAGCGGTCTTTCGGCGACTCGGGGCCCGCTTGGGCCGTCTTGGGAGCCTTTGGAGGCCCTCCTGGATTTTTTTGGACCTCCCCGGCCGCCCCGTCCTCCCATGGGGGGTCGGAGGCGGCGGCCTCCGAGGCTCAGGACGCCCGATAATTGACAAAAACCGCCGTCGTGATTTCTCCAAGACGTCGGAGGTCCAGGTCGTGCTTCCCGCCTCCCCAGACCTCCGACGTCGTAATGTAATTTGTGCGACCTCGGGCCCAGGAATCGATTGGGAAAACGCACATGGGAAGGCAAGAAATGATGGACCCATCATATCGTACCTGTGCCTTGATCAGTGGGACGGGCTTCGCACCGCCGCACATCACAAGACACGCTCGAGCGGATCCAGCCATGGCGACGTCGGGGACTGCAGAAGGTCGCAAGGACACGGAATCTGAAAGGAAGAGAGAGAAAGATAGAGAGAAAGAGAGGCAGAGAGAGACAGACAGACAGAGAGCGAAGGAAAGAGAGAGAGAGAGAGAGAGATGGAGAGAGAGAGAGAGAAACAAAAAAAAAAAACAGAGAGAGAGAGGCAGAGAGAGGAAATGGAGAGGAGGCGAGCTTGAGTCAACGAAAGTCGCAGGGAAGGGGGCAGGGGGAAGAAGGCCAGAGAGCGCTGAAATATACAAATACTGGAACCCTCTTGGGATTTTTTGGGGGGCCTCGTCCGGCCGCTCGCTGGGAATTTGACGTAGCTTCTTGGGAGCCTCTGAACCTGTCGGGGGCCTCTTGGAAGCATGTTCGAAGCATTTTGGGGGCCGATTTGGGGCTTCTCGGAGCCTCCTTTGGGCCTCTTGGGGGTCTCCTGGGGCCTCTTGAGGGGCCTCCTTGGGGCCTCCTGGCGGCCTCTTGGGGCGGAACGCTTGAGCTTGCGGTTCGTGGTCCCCCTCTGGGCCCCCTCTTGGGCCCGTCTTGGGGCCCTCTTGGGCCATCTTGGGCGCCTCTTGGGCCGTCTTGGGGCCCTCTTGGGCTGTCCTGGGGCCCTCTTGGAAGCTTCTTGGGCCGTCTTGGGGCGGTCTTGGGCGCCTCTTGGGCCGTCCTGTAACGTCGGAAAGCCCAAAAGGTAACTTTGTGAAAAATGTACGTTTTACGTAGGGAATGGGCACAATTTTGCGTCTAGGGGCCCTCTTGGGACGCATGTTGGAGGCTTCTTGGGGCGTCTTGGGGGCGTCCTTGGACGTCTGGAGGCCATCTTCAGCATCTTGGGCCGTCTTGTCTGACCGGGGAGGCCTCTGGCAAGCCCCGACGAGCCTCCGGGCCCCCCGGGATCCACATTTGCGGTCGGGGTCCCGGCCCCGGGCCCCCGGACCCGGTGCGCCGTTATGTATATATGTATGTATGTATGTATGTATGTCTGAATGTATGTATGTATGTATGTATGTATGTATGTATGTATGTATGCATGCATGCATGTATGTATGTATGTATGTATGTGTGTGTATGTATGTATATATGTATGTATGTGTATATATATACATATATATATATATATATATATATATATATATATATATTGGGCTGCATCGATATATATATATATATATAATATATACTAGAACCACGCGCGCGCTTCGCGCGCGCTTAGGTTCTAGGGCGGCACAGGCAGAGCATTCGTTTGACAGAACAGGGGATGAGAGGAGTTGCAACGAGAATCTCACCAGCTCTCTGTGCGTAGGTGGTTAAGCGCGTTTCCTCCCTCCACCCTTCCCTCTACCCCTTCGGGGAGGGTACCTCTGCCCCTAACCATCTCTCCTGGACCTAAATGGGGTCCCCGCGAGCGGTCAGATCGTCGAAGACGGCTCAAGACGGCTCCAAGGGGGCCTCAGAGAGCCCAAGATGAGCTCCGAGATTGCTCAAGATGGCTCAAGATGGCTCACAAGATGCTCAAAGAGGCCCCAAGACCGCCCCAAGGTGACTCCAAGCGGCCACGGAGCTTCCCAGGGAGGCCCCCCAAGAGGCGAAGATCGATCAAAGACCAATGAGAAATCTATATTTTGTGCTTTCTCGCCTTTTTGCTGCCGATGGCGTCCGAGACCGCAAGATGGCACCAAGAGGGCGTGGAAGGGCCCCAAGAGAGGCCCAAGGGAGCCCCAAACGAGGCCTCGTTTGGGCCTCGTGGGGGCCTCTTGGTCGGGGATGGATAGACCACCCTTTAATAAAACGTGGTCAAGTGAAAACGACCTGAGGCCCAAACCTGGCGGGCGCAAGCCTGAAAAATAACGGCCACGGCGCCCTCTCGAGAACCGGAAACTGACAATTCACTAATCGACGTGTCACTGTTGGGGGTTCTCTCCACCCCCGACTTGGGGCCTCTTGGAGGCCTTTGGGGGGCCTCTTGGGCCACTCTTGGAGGCCTCTTGGGGCGTCTTGGGGGCTTCTTGGGTTCTCATGGGGGCATCTTCGGGCGGAGAGCTCGATTTTTCGGTTCGTGTTCCCTCTTGTGGGCCCCTCTTGGGGCCTTCTTGGGGCACTCTTGGTTGGGCCGTCTTGGGGCTCTCTTGGGGGCATCTTGGGCCGTCTTGGAGCAGTCTTGGGAGCCTCTCGGGCGGTCTTGGAGCCTCAGAAAGCGGAAACAGCGAGAAACCAAAAAACACGGGAAAAACACATGAAAAAATCAACGATTTCGCCCCCCGGGGCCGTCTTGGGAGGCCTCTTGGAGGCCTCTGGGGATTCTTGGGGGCGTCTTGGGTCGTCTGGAAGCCATCATGAGCGTCTTGGACCGATCTTTCGGCGACTCTGGGCCCTCTTGGACCGTCTTGGAACATTCTTCGGCCGTCTCGAGGGCCTCTTGGGCCGTCTTGGAGCCACCGGGGGGGGGGTAACACGGGCGTGACCCAGATGTCCCGGGGGTGGGCTGGAGCCCCGGGGCCAGGGACCTGGTATTCATCCATAATATACTAGAACCACGCGCGCGCTTAGGTTCTAGGGCGGCACAGGCAGAGCATTCGTTTGACAGAACAGGGGATGAGAGGAGTTGCAACGAGAATCCCACCAGCTCTCTGTGCGTAGGTGGTTAAGCGCGTTTCCTCCCTCCACCCTTCCCCCTACCCCGTCGGGGAGGGTACCTCTGCCCCTAACCATCTCCCCTGGACCTAAATGGGGTCCCCGCGAGCGGTCAGATCGTCGAAGACGGCTCAAGACGGCTTGCAAGAGGACTGTCCTCGGGCCCTCCTGGGGCTGTCTGGGCCGTCATGTGTGTCGCGTGGAGGCCTCGTTTGGGCCTCGTGGGGGCCTCTTGGGGCCTCTTGGAGGCCTTTGGGGGGCCTCTTGGGCCCCTCTTGGGTGCCTCTTGGGGCGTCTTGGGGGCTTCTTGGGTTCTCATGGGTACATCTTCGGGCGGAAGGTTTGATTTTTCGGTTCGTGTTCCCTCTCTTGGGCCCCTCTTGGGGCCTTCTTGGGGCACTCTTGGGCCGTCTTGGGCGGATCCGGGGCGGTCTTGGGGCTCTCTTGGGCCGTCTTGGGGCTCTCTTGGGGGCATCTTGGGCCGTCTTGGAGCAGTCTTGGGAGCCTCTCGGGCGGTCTTGGAGCCTCAGAAAGCGGAAACGGCGAGAAACCCACAACACAGAAAAACGCATGAAAAAAACAACGATTTCTGCCTCTCGGGGCCGTCTTGGGAGGCCTCTTGGAGGCCTCTGGGGATTCTTAGGGGGCGTCTTGGGTCGTCTGGAAGCCATCATGAGGCTCCCTCGCGCCCGCGCGCGGACCGAGCACTCGGGCTGCCCGGTGCTGCTTGCGAAGCGCTCCCAGCCTGCTTTGTGCGCGGCCTGGTTGTCTCCTGCGAGCTTCTCTGCTTGCCGCCTCCCTTTCTCCGCCTGGAGCCAGCCTTCTGCCCCGCTGCCCTCTGGATGCCCGCTTCTATCTCCGCGGCGCTCTCTTCCTGCGTGGGGATGTGCTCGCTGCCCACTGCTGTTCGCTCGTCACCCTCTTTCTGAGTGGGAGCCCTCTGGATGCCCACTGCTGTCTGAGCGGCGACCTCTTGCTGCATGGGAGCCCTCTGGATGCCCATCGCGGTCTGCGCGGCACCCTCCTGCTCTGGATGCCCACTGCTGTCTGCGCGGCGGCCTTCGTCGTCTTTTTTAGTATTCTTCGTCTTCGTCTTGCTCGTCATCCTGACTGTGCGATTGACTGTCCCCTCCCACCAATACTTCATTGTGAGTTTGGCGATCACCTTCGCCACCAGCTCGGGATCTTCATACTGGGGCGCCAGATGATCCCGCCAGCGCTGCAGCTTCTTGACGGAGATGGACGCTGGCTTCCAATCACGCACAAACGCCACAGGGAGCTGAGAGTAGACCGTGTCCAGACAAGGCGTACTCTGCACGATTGGGATAGCGCCAGAGGCGATGGCCATGAAAGCCCTTGGACTCGGGTCAAGGCCACCGCCGTGAGGGCAAATGACGAAAGAGTGATTCTGCCACCAAGCAGCAAACTGATTGCTAAACATCTCGCCTCGAAGCTCAGAGAAGTCTCCCCATGGGCCGCCTGACCTGCAGTTTTTGAGCGCGCTGACCCTGTCGGTGAACTGGCCCGCGGAGGCTTCCTTATGATGCCTGCCATTGCAGCTCAGAGTGAGCGGCCTTTGCGACAGAGGCACCAGCCATCCAGCCTTGATTACCGACCACCACTCCTGACTGCAATCCTGATTTGCTTGTCCTGCAATCTCGCAGTTGGGCGTGTAGAATCCAGTCGGAATCCCAGCGAGCTTTTTGTGGAATCTAGAATCGTCGAAATTCTCTGTCACCCACCGCTCGATCAGACGATTGTTCAGCAGCCTGGCAAACCTCTGCAACACGTCATGCGTGCGATTCTCAAATCTGCGGTCACGCTGCTGTGGAATTGTCCTGTCTTGCGACGTGGTGAGGACCACGACCGGCTTATCGATGTAGGGAAACACCTCGTACTTGAGTAAGCGGATCATCATTTTCAAGTCCAACCTCAAGTCCAAGAAAATAGTCCTTGGGGGCGAGCGGAGCCTCACGATTTGCAGGGGGAAGCGCGGGCCAGTCGTGTCCTGTATAAACAGCCAATCGCACATAGCCGCTATGGATACCAACGGCTTGTCTGGAAAAGCCGACGTGTTCTGAAACGATAGCCTCGCGTGAAGCAGTTGCGGCTCTGGTTTAGGATACATCTCTTCAAGCCACGCCTGCACATGTCGGCGCGGTATGCGATTCGTGATCGGGCTGGTGACTGCCGTAGCCGACCTCGTACACCTGATCGTTAAATTCATACCCCATCCACTCACAACGTCGTCGGTACGTTTCACGCAAACTCGACTGCCGTACGCAAACACATGGAATTCGTCTGTCGACCTGGGCAAATCTCTGTTGAGCCTTGATCCGTGCTGGGCAGCGTCAACGTCACAACTGACTGATGATGTAGCGTTTACACACTTGTTGTTCTCCAGGCTTGTTCCGATGTTGACGACGACTTGGTCGGATGCCATGTCACCGGTGCTGGTCGTGGTGCTGGTCGTGGTGCTGGTACTGGTGCTGGTACTGGTGCTGGTACCAGTGCTGGCTTCAGCCCTGGTAGCGCCCAGCCCATCGTTGACAGTACTGCTGCTCGCCAGTCGCTCAGCGGTCGTGCCTGCTACTGCGGTAGATGCCGCTGGGAACTGCTCCGTCGGAGCTGGCTCTGTCAAGCGGACTACGTGCGCCAACCTGAACGCGTCGTTCATGATAACGTAAGAGACAACACTGGCGAAGACCATGAGCAAGACGGACAGATGAGCCACGCACTTTGGTGCAACCATTGCCAATGTCCCATCCTGATCTCCGCGCCACACGGGGTGGAAGTGCTAGGCCCTTGATCCCCTTGAGCCAAAATGGCTACGGAGGCCGTCTCGAGGGCCTCTTGGGCCGTCTTGGAACCCCCGGGGGAGGGGTAACACGGGCCTGACCCGGATGTCCCGGGGGTGGGCCGGAGCCCCGGGACCGGGGACCTGGTATTCATCCATATATATATACACGATGCAACGATGGCAGCCTCAGGTTGGCAAGCAAAAGCCACCACCAGTGTCGGACCTAGGCCAGAAGAGCACTCCCAAAGAACATGAGACCCTCCGCTGGCTAAGATGAAGAACGTGCAAAAGGTTCCCTCCTCAGGATGCGTAGTAATATCCAACACGCACGACTACCACGAGGGTTCCCTCCCCGAGCCGACCCCGATCTTCCAGCTGTGAGGCGACTTGGTGCCTCGGGGCCGACAAACGGAAGCGCTGACCGAAATCGGGCCTCCTGGCAGGGCAACTAGAAAAGCTGCAGCCTTTCTCCACACAGCGCGCGCCAGTGGCTCAGGAGGGCCATCTCGGTCGCAAGAATCTCGCACGGTTCACGAGACCACTTGCGAGCTACAGCTGGGGGGAGGCAGCTGCGAATCACTCGCACAAGCTCCACGCGGAACAATTTGGATACGGCGGTGCTCCACCCTACGTTGTCCTGGACAAGGTCGCCCCACTGGGACAAGGGAACTCAGGAGGTAAAGCGAGAGAGAGAGAGAGAGCGAAGATGCTGCGCATCCTGTAGCAGCTGCTGCACCCACGGCAATGGAGCGCAGTGTACGCCCAAGAGGAGGAAATCAAGAAGAGCCTGCGACCGCGATCGGACGATCCTTCCCCAGAAGAGCTGGCGACCACGTGCGATCAAACAACCGATCGAAGGCCGACCATATCGAAACCAGACATCCCGGTCTGTGAACTGCACATATGAAAAAAAAAGAAGCCCGATTCGCCAACAATGCGACGCAAGACGCGGGTACATACAACACTGAGGCGCTGGAGCTCCTTCGAGCGCGGAACCGTAAGGAACGCTCCAGGAAGCAACCTAAACAGCACCAACGACAGCATGAAACATGATTTGTGGGGGTGCGGCGCCAACGTGAACCCAAGCAGTTTGGTGACCAAAGAGCCGCGCACCGCCGCAGCGCTGGAGCACTGGTGCACGACGTCAGAAAAACAACGGCCAACCACATTCGCGAAGGTTCCAAGATGTTGATGGTGTTCCACCACATCGGCGCTCAAAGAACGATCGGGAGCACGGAACCGCAACGTGCCATCAGCACACCGACGCGTTTCACGGTGCGCGCCCGCTCCCTGGTCCCTTCCCCCTGTACCGCAACAGGGCCTGGGTCTTCCCAGGAGCAGTGTTGATCGCCAGGTGCAGGCCTTCGAATGTCCGAAAGAGATTTCCCATCAATCTGTCAGTAACAACGTCTCGGGCAGCACAGGAGAAGAGAAAAACAACTAGACACTCGTCGCCGACAAATGTGGCATCGACGACAGAAGCCGGGGAAGGGTCATAGCGAGACTCCATCTCGCGCATCCGAATGTGGTGTCGGGAACGTGGGGCTGCGACGTGACTCCTGAATTGTGCAACTCTCGAGCGCGTGTATCCCAGGGTATAGCACACACAGAATTAAATATGGAAGCGACCAATTTGCAGCCTTGGCGGCCTCCCGTTCATGTGCTCAACTTAGAACTCACTCCTGCAACACCAAACCATGAGCCGGCGTGAAGCGAATAGCAGAGGCCGCCGGCGCGGGCGTCGACCTGCCACTGCTGCAGGAAGTGCCCACGCTCGACAATAGACTTTGTGTCATCAGCTTCGTTGCTGCTTCAGAAACCCCGAACTCGCGGAGGTAGCCTTCGAGATCAGACGGCGGCCGAGGGCCCCACCCGAAAACCGGCTCTCTGACGACCGTGTCGAAGGCTCTCGTCAGATCGACAAAAATTGCAAGAATCGACGTCGACCGCCAGCCACGCGATCAGGGATGCTTCGCCGGTGCCGCGCTCACGCGCTGCGCCAAACTGTGTGTCTGGGGTGCGCTGCTCATAGACGCGGTCGACAGGGTCCTTGATCACGCATGCCAGAACATTGCCGGAGTTGTCGGCCAGCAGGATGCTCCGGCTCTGATGCGTTAGAAGACCTCCTCATCCGCCCACCGCGCCATTGCAGAGGCCAAGAAGCGCTCCCCAAAAGCACCGGGGCGCTGATGTCGGAAAACTTGACGGCTGCAACACCGCCTCCGCCTTGGTGGAGCTCTGTGGGTATCCGCACCCTTAATCTGAAATGACTCTCGCAGGTCATATAGCATCCAATTCTATGTCGATGGGGAGTGGATGGATAGGATAGGATAAGATCGGTGTGATGATCTTTCCAGCGCATAGCGAACACTAAGGTAAGTGTCCGGGCAAATAGGGCGCGCGTGCCTTGAGCCAAAGCAGCGGCGCGCAGGCTATACTCCCGATCCTCTATAACATCTCCCAAAGAGCTACCCTTAAAGTCGGGAGGGGAGGAGACGGAGAGTAAAGCCGCGCAGCCGCTAGGCTCTAGAAAGGCCGCGCGCGCAACTGTCTGCAAGAAAAACAGCGCCCGCAGTCTGGTCTACCACCAGACTGAAGGGCGAAATTATCGCCGGCGAGCTTCCTCGCAAAACTTTTCCACGCACGCACAGGATAGCCCCTTGGATATCCAAGGGCTATCGGCCCGGCTAGAGGTAAGCCAAACAGGCTATTCCCCTCCAGGCAGAAGGGCATTGAGGCAAAGAGCCTGAACCAATCTGAACAAGCTCGCTGCCAAGCGAGAAAAGTATGGCTCGTTTCCGGGCAGATAGGATGGCGCCTCTGTATTAGGCGCCCGTGCTGGCAAACTGGACCGCGGGGGCAACAAGGACAGACTAAAACTGATTCGACTTAGGTTTGTTTTTGTCCTCGGGGCCTCGAAAGGGAACAAACTGCTTCACGTTGTACTTAAATGACTGAGTGCCTGACATCACTTCCAAAAGCAGCTCCCGATCGATATCCCCCTTTGTATGCCCATCTGCGGTCATATCTCTCGTGTCACACCACTGCGCGTTATGCGCTATGCCTATACCCATGAGCTCACGTATCCAGCTGATATGCCCCAGCAAAGTGCGTTCCGTCGGTATATTAAGGTCTTTGCTGGATAGCGATTTGTATATAGACTCAGCGTCTATCGTAAGGGATACTTTGATAGCTAGGCCTCCAACTTCACGCATATCTCGTAGTTGTCGTGGGCTCAGTGCCCCGGCCATGAGCTCGTGGAGAGTGATGAGCGTGGGATAACACTCATCAAGATTATGTGCAGCTGCAAGTGCCTCAGCGGCATAGCTGGACCTCGCCTGCAGTCGGTGTGATTTGCATAGTCCGTCGCAAAGGTGAACGACGGATTTGCCTTGAGGCGAGCTTCCTCGCCGTAGTACGTTAGCCCCACGAATACCGTAGCCCTTAGTTTCATCGTCCTCCTCCCCGGTGAGTTTCCGATACCCCGAATCACTGTGTACGTCTACTTCACTCGTCGGTTTCATCCGAGGGAAGGTGATGCGTTTCGGGCTGCTGATCAACTTTCGCGTCACAGCATTCAGTCGTCTGACTTGTAAGTTGGTGGGCTCTTGGATCTTCTGGAGAGAGACCACATACGCCATAAGCCAGACTTGAGTAAGAAGGGCATAGGCGAGAACTCCTCGCAGGCTAACGAACATGTCGGTGATCAGTTTGGTAGCTTTGGCGTCTGCCGCTGCTCCCGTAAGTTCAGGGCGTGTGATAGGACGTAGTTGTTTAATGTACTCGTCCTGGTACACGATCGCGTCCCCTTGTTCATTCTTCGCGTTGCGAACGGCACAATTCGTGTAAGAATGTTTGTTGAGCTTGCATTTACCAAACACCTTTTCGACACGTTGTACATAGTCATCTACGTTTTTCTCTAGGCCTGCATTGTGGTGTCGTCGACATGTTTTGCCGTTAACAGGTCCTGACTGAATTCAAACTCACGGTCGTAGTTTGTCGGTGTAAGGCCTATAGCTCGTGTAGTCGTACGAAGCTTGAGGGAGAACGCTCTTGGGGCGTCCTTTGCACCCGTTGCTGGCTTGAGGCACCTGAGGCAGTGTCGGCTTTCATCGTAAGGCGAGAAGCCTGGTAGTGTACGAAGCACCTGGGCACTTCCTGGTGGAAGGGCGAAGCAAAACGTGCGAGTTTCCTCGCCTGTGGCATGAGCAAGTTCCTCATACGTCAGTCCTTTGAGGAACGCTTTGTCGATGTCCATAGATGCTAAAACCCATTCTGGATGGCATGCCGCCTCACTTGCCAGAAGCCTCTGGGACTGTCTACGAGCAGTTCCTGAGAAGGTTTCTACATCGAAAGCCTCCGTGTCCATGAATCCGCGGAGAACAAGTCTAAGACGGATGATTTTAACATTCTCGGTACCTACTTTCGAAAATTTCCACATGTATACATATCACGAGGGCATGATGTTAGAAGCCTTTGATAGGTCGTACATCTCAAAGCATCGGTTGTCAAGCCAGATCTTGAGTTCGGTGTACAAGGCTTCACTGACCTCTTTAGGATGTGCTGCTACATCGGCTTTGGTGAGTAGGTCGTCTTCCTTGACTACCACAGCACGCTTAGCAGACGATGATACATATACCCTCATCGTTGCGACCACGTCTGTTTCGAGCTGTGCAAGTTGGGTCGGATCCAATACTACATTTGACATTTCTGGCGCGAAACATAGCTCAACATAGGGACCATGTTCATCACTATCAAGAGAATAGCCCTCGTCAGGTGTAGGCGAGCATAGAGAAACAAGACAGGGCTCTTGTAGGGCATTTGGTGGTTGAGTGGTTGTAAGAGTTGCATGGCTCGCTGGTTGCCAACGCCTAGGGCGCGGAACAGGATAGTCGTGAGCAGTTGGAAGTTGGGAAGGTCAAAGCCCACCGACTGTGCCCCAAAACGGGCCATCTCGAACCGAGTAAGGATTACGTCGATTCGTTCTCCGTGAGGCACATGAAGGTAGATGAGCTGAGTGCCTGAAGTGAGCTGGCGCTCATCTTCCAGGCGTACTGGGTCGGTGTGGACACCATCGATGTCCGCACCATAGTTTATGATGTCAGGTGGTACCCTCATGGCGAGTGTCCTCGCTAGGCCGCCCAG